TGCATGAGAGGCAAACAACACTGATGTTCTCTCCCTCTCTTTCTCCCTCCCTTCCCTTTTGTCTAAAAATAAATAAATGAAATCTTTAAAAAAAACAAACAATGAGTTAAAAAAAATTGAATACTAACTTACACGGCTAAAATCCAAAACACTAACAATACCAATGTTGGCAAGGATATGGAGCAATAGGAATCCCCATTCTTTGCTGCAATGTAAAATATTACAGCCACTTTGGATGACATGTGGCAGTTTCTTATAAAGTTAAACACAGTCTCAGCATACAACCCTGCAATTGCTGAGTATTTATGCAAGTAAATCAAAAACTATGTCCACATAAAAACCTATATGCAAAAGTTTATTGCAATTTTATTCATAATCACTAAAAACTAGGAGCAACCAAGGTATCTGTAGTTCATCCATACAATGAAATACAGCTCAGTAATAAAAAGGAATAAAGTACTGATCCATGGAAGAACATTAATAAATCTTACATGCATTTTATAGGAAGTCAGGCCCAAAAGGCTACAGTGTATGATTCCATTCACATGACATTCTGGAAAAGACAAAACTACAGGTACAGAAAGAGAGCAGTAATTACAAAGGACTGGTAGAAGGGACTAAAAAGGACTTACACAAAAAATTTTAAGATGATGGATCTGTGCTATATAGTAGTAGGGTGGTATATGAATGATTCTGCATTTGTCAGACCTCAAAGAACTATACACCTTCATAAAGAGTAAACATCAATATAAGGAAACGACAAAAGAAAAAAATCACCCAGAATGTCAGGAGATCCCAGGATAGAGTGAAGACTATGACAAATGAATCTACCTATATTACAAATGTATGACATAACAGCAGTGGAAGGAGTGGGGAACAGGGAGCTGACCCTTTATATTGAATATGGTGTTCTGACTAAACTATAAGGGAAATAACAAAAGAAAATGCACATAAATGCTATACTCTGCTTGGCAAATTTGTTTCTCATTTCTGAATTTTTAAATTCTGGAACTGTTTACATGTATTTTGGGATAAGCAAAATGGAGAGTACATGGTGAGTGCCAGATTTCTAAATGTTGGAGAGGGTATTTATTATAAATAAGCAAGAAGGAAAGGTACTACTGGATTAGAGTTAGTTACATCAGTATGAACTCATATGTATGTATATACACAGATACATAAAGATAGATGAATACAGAAATAATCAGAGATATGTGGGTACATGAGGATTACTATACATGTATTACCTAGCTCTGTCTGCTAAGAGGGCTTAGAAGCAAGGACACCCAGTAACATCAATTACTTCTAGCAGTCAGATCTTGGATTCTTATACCAATTTCCACAAAAAGCAGCCAGAGTTCCTTAAAGAAATGGCTGATTCTAGGGTTGGGACACAGAAAATAGAAAATGAGCCTGGAGCATCTTACAGTATCAAAAACAAGGTACTCAAAAATAAAATGGGGGCATGAGAAAGGGACACCTGAAAGAATTCCTAATTCCCAATAGCTACAGAATGGAACAATTTAAATAAAAAAATAAATCAAATACTACTGCATTACAATCCAAAATATAAAATATACATGAGTCCATAACAATATAAATAAGATTGAGTAAATAGGGAAATGAAAAAAATCTTCCCTACAGAAAAAGTCCAAATATAAGTAGCTGTCCGCCCACTAGTCCCCTTTTGAATATAAGCTGAACTCAGTAACTCGCCTCCACAGAAGAGTACAGAAGGGGAAGAAACAATAACTTTAAAGTGGAGAAACCCATCAAACACTACCTTAACCTTGTGATTAATATAAACATTACTACTGATGTCACGTGACTAACGTACCCACTGAAGTGATGCAATGAAAAGGGCACTCCACCACTGTGGCATTCTTTCCAAAACCCCATAACCTCAGTCTAACCATGAGAAAAACATCAGAGAAACCCAATCTGAGAGTCATTCTACAAAATACCTGACCATACTCCAAAAAACTATGAAGGTTAAAAAAGCAAAAACTGAAAAGACAGATCAGAGGAGACTAAAGAGACATGACAACTAAGTGCAATGTGGTATCCTGGACTGGACCCTTAGGCAGAAAAAGGACATTTATGGAAAACCTGGTGAAAGCCAAATAAAATCTGCTACATTAATAACATACCAAGGTTGGTTTCTTAGTTTTGATAAACATATCGTGGAGATGTAATGAATGGTAGTGAAATTAAATGAGTGTATGGGAATTCTTTATACTATCTTTGCAAATTTTCCATAAATCTAAAATTATTTCAAAACACAAAGTTTATTTAAGTTTTTTTTTATTTTTTAAAGATTTTATTTACTTATTTTTAGAGAGAGAAGGGAGGGGGAGAGAGAGAGAGAGAGAGAGAGAAGAAACATCAATGTACGGTTGCTGGGGGTCATGGCCTGCAACCCAGGCATGTGCCCTGACTGAGAATCGAACCTGCAACACTTTGGTTCGCAGCCCGCGCTCAATCCACTGAGCTATGCCAGCCAGAGCTAAATTTTTTTTCAAAACACTGCAGATACATATTTCCTTCAAGTGCAAATGGACTATCCACCAAGGTAAACTATATATTGGGCCATAAAAGATCAAAATATTACAGAGCATATTCTCTGACCTCAGTGGAATTAAATTGGAAATCCATAACAGCAAGATATTTAGAAAAGTCTGAATATTTGTAATTAAACAATGCTCTCCTAAGTAACTCATGAATCAAAGAATGAACCAAAAGAAAAATTAGAATTATTTTGAACAAAATCCAACCTACATGCCTGAAAAAAAGTCTCAGCAAACTAGGAATAGAAAGGAACTTTCTTAACTCAATAAAAGGAATCTGTAAAAAAGCTATAGCTTAAAACAGATATAATGGTAAAAAACTGAATGTTTTCCTTCCAAGATTAGGAACAATGCAGAGTTTTCTTTTTCTCTAAGATTAGGAACGAGGCTCTTCTTACTATTTTTATTCTACATCTGCACTGGAAGTTCTGGCTAGTGCAGTAAGACAAGAAACAGAAACAAAAGGCATATGGGTTGGAAACGAAGATGTAAAATTGTATTCATACAGGACATGATCCTCTAAGTACAAAATCTTATGGAATCTACAAAAAGGCTATTGTGCTTTACTTCAAAGAAAACAGCTTGATCATATTTGTTGCCAAATTTGAACTCTCAAGTATAAATTAGAATTTTGAAAAATTTGTATCCATCACCACAAACTCTTTAGTGTCCTATTACTTAAAGATTTTTGTGATGAGATGAGAGGCAATGTTAACAAATCATCATTTGATATTGTATAATGAAATATGTCAATATTTGGAAGGTCTGAAAAACCAGCAAAATAGTATTTTCCAAATGAGTAGTGCACAATGTTATAAAATCATGAAGGTGTGAAATATCCACCCCAAAGTAGGGGAGGGGGGAATCCTAATAGATTTTAATGTAACAGTATTAAAAGTCTTTTTGATATAGTTTTAATTTTCTAAAAATTTATTTATTTTTAAAGAGAGGGGGAGGGAAAGAGAAAGAGAGGGAAAGAAACATCAATGTGTGAGAGAAACATCAATCTGTTGCCTCTTGCACACACCCCAATCGAGGACCCAGGCATGTGCTCCCACCAGAAACTGAACAGGTGACCTTTCGCTTTGTGGGGCGACGCCCAACCAACTAAGCCACACCAGTCAGGGCTTGGTATAGTTTTAGATTCCACATTACAAATAACCTTTGAGAAACTGGAGTTTTTGTGCATATCAAAAAATATAATACCTTCTTGTTTTCTAATCACCTCTATATAAGGCTGAATTTTCTTCCTATACTTCAACTAAATATATTACAACAGACTAAATGCAGAATCCTGTCTATTATTAAGCCAGACATGAATGAGATTTTCAAAATGTAAACCAATTCCTTGCCCTAACCAGTGTGGCTCAGTTAGTTGGGCATCATCCTGTAAAATGAGGGGTTGCTGGTTCAATTCCCAGTCAGGGCACATGACTGCACTGAGGGTGTGGTCCCAGGTCAGGGCACATGTAAGAGGCAACCAAACAATGTTTCTCTCTCACATTCTCCCTCTCCCTGATGGTTCTCTCCTCTCTTTCTCCCTCCCTTCCCTTCTCTCTAGAAATAAAATAAATGAAATCTTTTTTAAAAATGTAAACTAATTCAATTCTTCTATTTTTTGTTTGAAAAATATAATTATTTTTCTTTAAAAATATGGTCATTATGCTAATATGATGGCTTCATCACTTTTTAATGAATTAATAAATGCTTTTTAGACTTCTCAGTTTAATTTTAAATGTGATAAGTATTAAAAATATTAATAGATAACCAACACAAACAAAGGTTTTTCAAGGTCTTAAATAATTTTTAAGAATGTAAAAGGGTCTTGAGATCAAAAAGTTTGAGAATCACTGTTTTAGATGTTTAAACAACAATGTCCTTCAGTAGGCAAAAGGAGGTGGGATCCAACATGTAAGTAGAGGGGCTGACTTTGAATAGATGCACACATAGTTCATCTATGGTAACAGACTGAAAGTTAGAGCATGTGCGTTCATATGCAGGCAGGTGAAAAGAAAAGGTGGTAGAGGTCAATGAGGTACTACAAGTAATCACTCCTAAGACAGTGAAGGGATGGTTCAAGGGTTACATTTTAGATACAACATATAGAAGGCTCTAGTCTACCACCCATTATTCATCCCCTAAACCTTAGAAAATATTATTGAAAGTGACGATTTCAAAAACAAAGGGTACCCCATCTGGACCACCTGAGTTCTTTCTCTAGAGGTTTTTAAGCTTTGAAAAGGAAAAAAGGAGGAATGTTCTAAGCATGGGAAGTGGGATTTGAGGACCTCAGGAATAGAAGCAAGCAAACCACAAATTATTAACCTTGTCACTAGAGCAGAGAATGAAGCAGAGTATAGAGGTGATTTACAGTTAGAGAAGGTTAGGGCAGATGGAAGAAAAAACAAAAGTATAGGAAATATTCAGGGGTACCTGTCCACTCCATCCCAGCGATACCCAGGCCAGATATTGAATCTGTTGGGAGGAGGTGCTGGGCCACTATAACGAGGTCTCACTAATGAGAAAAAGAGAGAAAACACATCAGTTATCTATACAATTCAATTCAGTGGGGGGAAAAATATTATACAGAAATCTCAATATTAAGTTGAACCTAAAATCCCAAAGACAAGGACTCTAGGATTCTATGGGAAAGCCTTCTTTGCATATAGCTTTGTACCATCACCCTAACGATCCTCTCTCCTCATAAGTCATTTCCATCTCTGATGATTCCCAGATGGCTCACCTTTCTTATTCTTGTTCTCCTTGGCCTTATTCTTCTTGATAAAGTTGGCCATAGGATCCCCCTCTCTTTCTTGTTCTCTCAGCATCCGATCCAGATCTTCATCATCAATATAGCGGGCCAGAGGCTTTTGCATTTCCTTTATTGCATCCTCCACATTTTGTTGCTGCTGCCGGCTCTGGACAAGCCTGGGCAAAAAGAACCAAGAGTATCTGCTATACTGTTTGGCATTTTTACTCTTACACTTACATGAACCACACCACTACATTTGAAGAACCTCCTCTTTCTAGCAGCCTAGGCCAAATAATGAAAGGGTAAAATTCCTAAAATACCACTGGCAGTGGAAAATATATCAGTATTTAGAAAGGAGACTGACTGAACACAATGAGTTTCCAATTCCTAAAAACAGCATTAAAGGCAGAACATAAACCAACTGGTCAGAAGAGTAGGGAAATAATTCCCTCCAATCACTGCAGTCTTGTTTTACCTTTCAGTGGCTTCCTTACCCTTTTCCCCACTGGGCATACAGCTCATCTCTCTCTGAGTCCTTCTCTGCTTTTCTCCTTTGCTGTAAACGTTCCAGTTTCAAATTCCTCTTACGACCAGACTTATCTCGAAATATGGTTTCAGCATATTGGAATTCACCTACAAAGGAAAATTATGCCTTTAAAAATAAACATCAGGTATCAAAATCAGAAATAATATTTTAATAGCTCAACCACTTAAAATAGTAATCAACACTTAGGATTCTGATACTAAATAAGAACTTCTGCAGCCAGACTACAAGTAGTTCCTAGTAATACCTTAGTGCATATTGGTGATGATCTTGAAAACTATTATGTTTCAAGGAAAAGAACCACTTGGACCCACTGAGAAGTTAAAATAATGCATAATACCAGATAGCAATTAAAAGCTTAAAATATCAGGTACAATAAGCTACATTTAAAAAATAAAAACAAAGCTACATGAACCTCAATTGATCTCTGCGCTTTCACATTTTTACCTTCAAATGCCATGGTTTCTTGGTCCCGTTTCTTGAGTTCCTGCTGTTCTCGCTGTACGTCAGTTAACACCAACCCAGTTTTAGCCCCAGAATACATGTGTGCAGCCTATACAATGGAAAAGGAACCATCCAACATTAATGTGACAAAGCAGCAGTAGGCTCTATGGGTATACACAGTTAATTGCATTTTTGTCTAAAGATTGACAGTAACCAAATTAAAAACTCTAACTTTGTAACTGTATTATTAGCCACAGGATTCACAAAAATAGAAAAGAAATTAAATTTGATGGAAAATCGATAGTACTATCAAGTTTAAGAGTAAACAAAAACATAAACCAAGAAGATATGAAAGAGTAGGCTAAGCATCTGTATTTCTGATTTTTCAGCATATAAACTGCATATGTGAGGGCTCACTCTCAGGCCACTTGACCAGAAACCAGTATCAAGCTCTAAGCACTCCGGTAGAGACTCACACTATAAAATATTCCATTTAAAATACAAACTCAAAACTAAGGGGTGTCCAACGCACAGCCCACAGGCCACATGTGGCCCAAGATGGCTATGAATGCCGCCCAACACAAAATAATAAATTTACTTAAAACCTTTTTTTGCTCATCAGTTTTCATTAGTGTTTGTGTATTTAATGTATGGCTCAAGACAACTCTCCTTCCAGGGTGGCCCAGGGACGCCAAAGGTTGTACACCTATTAAGCTAAGCCCTCCAGTAGAGATCCACTCTGAAAAAATATTCCACTTAAAATACAAACTCAAACCTAAGATACTTAAATTGTGGATATATTTCAGGATAATGAAAAGATATGACCAAATCAAAACTTTTTACTGAACTCCACCTTGTATCAAGATAACAAACCAACCCACAAATGGACCATAAGAGTATATCCAGATTCCTTGAGCCATGTGCTAAATTTGATCAACATTTTTTGTCCATGGACTAAACAGATACATAAGATACATAAAATGTCGAGGGGTCCAGTTGAAACATAGCCCTTACTTTGTGACCCAAAAGAGAAGAAGCCTGCTTCCTGGGTTAGGGACAGGCTAATCTACCCTGCCAGGCAGGACCATACAGAGCAGACTTATATTAGAAAGTCTGTATTGAAGTAAGATGTGCATGCTACAGGTTCTATCATTCTGTTCCTTAACCAACTCACTGGAATAAGACTCCTTTACTAGTACTGGTGTTCTGTACAACACAATTACTCAGGGTTCATGTGGATTTTTTTCCGTAACTCAGACTACATCATAGATTTCAAATAAAACAAAACACTGACTTTCCAGGTGATATGATTTCTAAAAGTACCTTTATATTTTAAGTGCCACTGTTCAAATCTGAATACAGTGATCTACACTCAAATTAATAATAATTAATAATCACCACCATCACCATCATCATCATCATCTTGCACTAAATGCTTATTTTGTCCCAGGCACTGTGCTGAAAGTTTTAATTATATCAACTCATTTAGTTTTCACAATAACCTTATGAAGTACATACTGTTATCCACATTTTACCAATAAAGAAGCTGAGGCTTAGAGAGATTATGTATCTTGCTCAAATTTCACAGACAGAAAGTGAAAAAGGATTCAAATATATGCTACATTTGATGCAAGTTTTGTGCTTCTAACTCCACATTGTAAACTATAGTTCTCAGTTTATGCCTAAGAAAATAAGAAGTTTTCTAGACCTATTAAAATGAGATTTATGGAAACAAGATGATGCAAAGCCAGAAGCTACTTAGGAACTCTTATATTTGCTAGTTCATCTGGGCTAGGTTAGAGGTAGTCCTGCCTTCAGAGAGAAGGAAAGACACCTAGAGGTCCTTTGAACTAGATTTACTATACCACCAAACTACCCCTCCTCCTCCTTCCCCTCCCCCACCTCCTCTGGCTTGGATCTCTGGGGCTTGTATAGAGCTAGAAGATAGGAGTCAGAGACTCTAAGAGGAAAATATGGGTCCTGAAAATTCCTACCTTTGTTCCCAAAGGCTGAGTCCTTCGAGGTGGAGACAGATCGGAATCAGAAGATTTGGCCCTCTGTTTCCTCCTTGGTGGAGAGAGGTCAGAATCAGAGCTCCGGTGTCTAGATCTATTCCGTGGAAGTGACAGATCTGAATCAGAATCCTGGTGCCCTGACCTTTGTTTATTCCATGGAGGAGAAAGATCTGAATCAGAGGCTTTCCAACTGTCACTTGGGTAGGAAGAAGAGTCCAATGTGTGACTCTGATGTCTTCTAGGTGAAGAGCTTGAATGAATTTTTCTATAACTGGGTGAAGAGCCTTGGAATTGAAGGAGAAAGACTGTAATCCACTTGTCAGAATCTTAAAAAAGAACTTAATGCGTTAACGTTCAACATTCATTTAGTCCTCCTGTATCACTAACCTAAACACCAGTACAGATGACATCAGAGAACATATGGGGTTCCATTCCCAAGTTACTAGTGACTGTGATTAGTATGGGAGATCACAACATAATCTTCTATGTCATATTTATCTATACATAGAATAGGCAAAATAAGCTGCACTCAAATATCAGCGGTGTGGTGAAAATTAAAACTACCTAGGATATATTCTGAAGTCCTCAGACTAAAGGATAAGAATATATTTGAATTTAAAAATTAAAACAGTAACTAGGGACAAAAGATGTATGAAAAAACTTTACCACATAGGCCAAAATGTAGACATAAGCATCACAAATTATCTCCCAAAACCCCAATCAGCAATATGTATCAATGATCTTTAAACACAACCCTCTAATCTGGTAAATCAATTTCTATTTAGTTTCCTAGGAAACATATCTAGAAGTACTTAATTCCCAAGAAATCTATCTAGAAGTAAAGAAGGAAATAATCCAAAATGGGTAACAGTTTATGTGTACAGATGTTCATTATAGAATTACTAAAGCAAAATTTAGAAATAACCTAAAATATGCAGTATTAGGAAAATGGTTAAGTAAATGTATGTGATATAACACCAATAAAAATTATATTAATAAACAGATTTTTTATGACATGGAGAAGTAGAAAAAAAGCAAGATAATACATGTAATATGTATATAGTGCCTAGAGGCTCAACTACATCAAAATGAATAGAGAAAAGTCTATAAGAACATTGGCTACAAACACTAACAGTGATTGCCTCTGAATGACAGAATTTTGTATGACCTTTTTGCTGCTTCTTTATATATTTCTAGACATTCTGAAGCTTCTACAACAAATATAGAACTCTTATGTGGGGTAGGGAGAATAAACAAAAGGATATATAAAAATTTCTTTCTGCCCTGGCCAGGTGGCTCAGTTGGAGCATCATACCATACACCGAAAGGCTGAGGATCCAATCCCAGGTCAGGGAACATACCTAGGTTGTAGGTTTGATCCCCAGTCAAGGCATGTATGAGAGGCAACCAACTGATACCTGTCTGTCTCTCTCTGCTCCACCTTCCCCTCTCTCTAAAAACCAATAAATATATCCTTAGGTGAGGATTTTTAAAAAATTAACTCCTTCCCTCCTACTGCAATGATTTAATTCTCTTCAGTCCAATTCTCACCATTTCCCTACAGCTTTTAACACTTCTCCAAAGAAACTCCATTTTCATTTCTAAAGACATAAATACATAACAAAGCAAGTAAAAGATCCAAAGTAAAGCACCTAGAGAATAAGTTTCTCACATGTACAATCAATGCTCACCTTTAGAATCATGCTCTTTATTTCTAAAATGGAATTTTGCTTGCTTTTTTCGTGGAGGAGAGAGGTCCGAATCATATTCATATTTGCTATTCTTTGAGACTGAGAGATGAGAGTATCCTAGCCCCTTCCGATGTGAAGAACTTTTGCTAGAGGATTTTTCTGGGACTTTACTGCTTTTGGTTCTAGGCAGTGAATAAGGAACACCAGGTGACAAATCAGGGGAGTCATGATAGGACCTCTTGATCTGCGATGAATCCAAGGAATCAAGAGTCCTTTTTGCTTGAGAAGTGTCAGGGGAGCTGTTACCGGCCCTTCTATGGGGACAGATATCTGAGGAACTGTGATGGGCCCTCTTAGGAGATACACCTGAAGGACGATAATGTTTCCTGAGAGGAGAGGGATCCGGTGAATCTTGCTGGGGCCTCCTAGGAGGAGAAGGATCCGGTGTGTCATGACGGACCCTCCTAGGAGGAGAAGGATCCGGTGTGTCATGACGGACCCTCCTAGGAGAAGAAGGATCCGGGGTGTCGTGACGGACCCTCCTAGGAGGAGAAGGATCCGGGGTGTCATGACGGACCCTCCTAGGAGGAGAAGGATCCGGGGTGTCGTGACGGACCATCCTAGGAGATGAATCCAGGCAATCATGACGGACCCTCCTAGGAGGAGATGAATCCGGGTAGTCATGACGGAGATGTCTGTGTGAAGGTAGATCCTCACTGTGGTCTAAACACAAACAGCACAGTCAGATTCCTACAGATGCTGTCACCTCAGTATCCAAAGTTTCAAAAGATGCCCCAGCAGCATAAATCTCAAAACCACTCAGAAAGCCCAAAACTATTCTGCACAGCTCCTTTGCTTAGGGGCAGCAAACCAGTAACCAGGAACATCTTAAAAATAATCTTGTTTATTTGCCCTAACAAGTCTTAAATTTGCAAAGCATTTTAAATACATTTCTCATATTATACCTTGTAAGGCAAGCAGGGCAGGCATCTTGTTTCACAATTGTGAAAACAGATGATCCAAGGAGCTGAATGGTTCTCACCTGAGATCACGGCTCCACGATGAAGAGACAGACTAGAACGCCAGTCTTCTAACTCTCAACCCAATGTTCTTTCCAAAATCTTATTTGTGCAGAGTTCCCAAATGAGAAGTTCCTACCAAAATTTAGCCTACACAGCTTATAGTTTGTACTCACTCTTCTTTAAAACGACAAATTACCTGGCTGGCGTAGCTCAGTGGATTGAGTGCGGGCTGCGAACCAAAGTGTTGCAGGTTCAATTCCCAGTCAGAGTACATCCCTGGGTTGCAGGCCATGACCCCCAGCAACCACACATTGATGTTTCTCTCTCTCCCTCTCTATCTCCCTCCCTTCCTTCTCTAAAAATAAATAAATAAAATCTTAAAAAAAAAACGACAAATTAACTAAACCTGTGACACATCAAAATGAGCTACCAACTATTTAATCCATGCCAATGTACTCCTCATTGAAGGAAGAGAGACCACCAGAAAAAAAAGATCAGCATTTACTGACCCCCTACTACATGCTAATGTTTTATACAAATTACCTCAGCCCATTCTCACAAGCCTAGGAGATAAATACTACTCCATTTTATAGATAAAAAAGTTGATACCCAGAAAGATTAAGTAATTTGCCAGTCACATTGCTAATAAGTAGTGGAGTAAATATCCAAATCCAGATCCATTGGACTTGAGTCCATGTGCATTCTTTAAAAATATGTAGTTGAACATTCTAAGAAGAGAGGCCAGGATGGCAGAAGCAGAGTATAGGAGGGGAAAAGTAGGAGATTGAGGTCATAGGTAATAAGATGCCAAATTGTGTAGGGACTTAAGGACTGTGAGGACTTAGTGAGAAGGGAAGCCATTGGAAGGTTTTGAGCAAAGAAGTGAGATGATTTGACTTTTAAACAATCACTTTGAGTTCCAGCCAAGATGGAGGCATAAGTAGAAACCCTTCACTTCCTCGCACAACCACAGAAGGATACTAACCAATCTAAAAACAATAAACAACCAGGAAATCAAACTGCATGGAACTCCAACAACCAAGGAATTAAAGAAACATTCAACCAGACCACGCAGGCGGGGCTGGCTGAGAGATCCCACACTGGACAGCGTGAGCAAGGCAGGGCTGTGTGAATGGGAAACTAAGATTCAAAGCTAGCTATAAACTATGGTGGGGATTGCCATGGCGGGAGAAACTCCCAGTCTCACACAAGAGTTCACTGGAAAGCAAGTCTAGAGGGGAGTAAATGAGGCACATTGTTCTCTCTGACCCCTCCCCCACAGACAGCACCACAAAGCAGCAAAGAGGGTTGCCCTACCCTGGTGAATACCTAAGGCCCTGCCCCCTTACAACATAACAGGTTGACCAAGACAAAGAAATGTGGCCCAAATGAAAGAAGAGATCAAAACTCCAGAAAAAAGCCCTGGCTGGCGTAGCTCAGTGGATTGAGCGCGGGCTGCGAACCAAAGTGTCACAGGTTCGATTCCCAGTCAGGGCACATGCCTGGGTTGCAGGCCACGGCCCCCAGCAACCACACATTGATGTCTCTCTCTCTCTCTTTCTCCCTCTCTTCCCTCTCTAAAAATAAATAAATAAAATCTTAACCTCCAGAAAAAGAGCTAAGTGACAAGGAGATAGCCAACCTGTCTGATGGAGAGTTCTAAACACTGGTAATCAGGATGCTCATAGAACTGACTGAGCACAGTCGCAAAATGAAGGAAGAAATGAAGGCTAGCCAAACTGAAATAAAGCAAAATATTCAGGGAACGAACTCAAATCAACCAGAAGGAAACCAAAACCCAATTAACAATTTTGAACAAAAAGAAGAAATAAACATCCAGAAAGAACAGAATGAAGAAACAAGAATTCAAAGAAATGAGAAGAGGCTTAGGAACCTCTGGGACAACTTTAAACTATTCTAATATCTGAATTATAGGGATGCCAAAAAGAGAACAAGAGAAAGAAGTTGAAAACTTATTTGAACAAATAATGAAGGAACACTTCCCCAATCTGGCAAAGGAAATAGACTTCCAGCAAGTCCAGGAAGCTCAGAGAGTCCCAAAGAAGTTGGACCCAAGGAGGAACACACCAAGGCACATCATCATTAAGTTACCCAAGATCAAAGATAAAGGGAGAATCTTAAAAGCAGCAAGAGGAAAGGAGACAGTTATCTACAAAGGAGTTCCCATTAGACTATCAGCTGATTTCTCTAAAGAAACCTTACAGGCAAGAAGGTGCTACAAAGAAGTACTTGAAGTCATGAAAGGCAAGGACCTACATCCAAGATTACTCTCTTCAGCAAAGCTATCATTTAGACTGCAAGGGCAGATAAAGTGCTTCCCTGATAAGGTCAAGTTAAAGGAGTTCATCATCACCAAGCCCTTATTATATAAAATGTTAAAGGGACTTATCTAAGAAATTGAAGATTAAAACTATGAACAGTAAAATGACAACAAACTCACAACTATCAACAACGGAACCTAAAAAAAAAAAAAAACACTGAAAACAAAAACTAAGCAAACAACTAGAACACAAACAGAATCAGAGAAATTGACATCACGTGTAGGGTTTTCAGTGGGGAAGGGTAGGGGAGGAATGGGGGGAAGGTACAGGGAATAAGAAACTTAATTGGTAGTCATAAAATAGATGGGGAGAGGTTAAGAATGGTATAGGAAACAGAGCATTCAAGCCCCGGCTGGCGTAGCTCAGTGGATGGAGCGCGGGCTAGGAACCAAAGTGTTCCAGGTTCGATTCCCAGCCAGGGTACATGCCTGGGTTGCAGGCCATAACCCCCAGCAACCGCACATTGATGTTTCTCTCTCTCTCCCTTCCCTCTCTAAAAATAAATAAATAAAATCTTAAAAAAAAAAAACAGAGAATTCAAAGAACTTATATGCATAACCCATGGACATGAACTAAGGGGGCAGGGAATGCTGGAAGGTTGCGGGGTGCAGGGCAGAGTGGGGAAAAACTGTTATAGAATAATCAATAAAATATACTTTTTTAAAAAGACTTTATTTATTTATTTTTAGACCAAGGGCAAGGGAGAAAGGAAGGGAGAGAAACATCAATGTGCAGCTGCTTCTCGAGCTCCACCCACCTGGAGCCTGGCCCACAACCCAGGCATGTGCCCTGACTGGGAATGGAACCAATGACCTTTTGGTTCATAGGCCAGTGCTCAACCCACTGAACTGTACCAGCCAGGGCCCAATAAAATATACCTATAAAAAAAAGAATCACTTAGCTTCTATTTTGACAATAGATGGTAGGGGAGCGAGAGAAGGGTGACTTAAGAGGCTGCTGCAGTCCTCCAAGTGAGAGACAGTGGGGGTAGCCAGGGGGAAGTACAAGCAGGGAATGAGGTATCTACATATATTCACATGAGATGGTACACAGGATCTGATGAAGTAATTGACGTAGGGTATTAGAAAAAGAACAGAGTTAGGGAGATTCCAAGATTTTGGCCTGAGCCATTTAAAGAATGGAGTTGCCACTTACTAAAATGGGAAAGACTGTAAAGAATGGGAAGAGATCAATTTAATTTTGGAGACGTCAAGTTTGAAAAGCCTATTAAATTAACATATGGTATATGAATCTGGAATTCAGAATAAAGTCCCAGGCTGGATATGTAAATTTGGGAGACATCAGCATGTAAAGAGTATTTAATGCCATGCGATCATCTAGATATTCAGGGTATACAGAAATTTTTAAAAGTTATATAAGAATCCCAGAACACTCGAGCATTTAGGAATTGAAATGGTAATGAAACCTGAGACAGAATGAGCAACCACTGAAATAAGAGGAAACCAGGAAAAGCAACCAAGTCAGTTGACAAGGGGCTACAAGTGACCACTGGCTATAACACTGGGGTAGTGAGGACGAAAGCCTGATTGGAATGGGTTCAAAAAAGAATGGTAAGATCAGAAATGGAGAGAGGGAGGATAGGGAATTTGGAGAAGGAATTTGGTATTAAGAGTAGGGTGGCATTAAAGTGAAGTGATACTTCAGGGTCATGAGAGTAATTTTTAAATTATTGCATCCATAAATATAGTATTTTACATGTTAACATTCTTTTTTTCCAAATATAACCTCAATACCACTATCTCACCTAAAAAATTAACAATAATTCTAAAAAACTAACAATAAATCATCTCTCCTATCCTGCAAACCTTCAGATTTCCCTAATTGTCTCATTTATTTCTGCTACCAGATTTATCGGGATATTATAATTCAAATACCATACAATTCACTCATTTAAAGTATGTGACTTAAAAAAAAAGGTATGCAACGTAATAAATTTCTAGTATCATCAAAAAAATGTAGTTAAGGAAACAATTTGAAACTTTCAGTTTTCAAAAGCATAGGAGAAAGATTGTTTATAGCAACTTAGGACATTTCCAAAATCTAGTTTCTCCTCTCCCTCTGTTACTTAATCATTGAGAGCTATGGCCCAAACACAAATAAAAGCCAGGTAGGACCCAATGAATACTTGTTAAATGGATGAATTAAGCCTATTCAATTCCTTCACTTTGGAGAATAGGCCTAAATAATTAGAATCCACCCGTCAGAGAAAAGTACTGATACCTGTAGACCTGACAATAAATGTAATCCATGAGGTTGATAAATTCCATGTCATTTATTAAAAAGAAAGTAAGGGTCAGAGATCAGTAAGGATATTTCCAGCAACAAATGAGGATGGAGCAGTGAGAATAAGGCAAAACAAAAATAATTATTTGTGTGTGTGTGTGTGTTTATGTGTATGTCACTTCCTAGACCTACAGAGATGGAGACCAAAAGACTGTCTCTGAAAAAAGGACTATGGAAAAAACTGAAACACTACTACAGGATAAGGCAGGAAATAATAATTAAAACAGTCTTACCACTATGTTGTACACCTAAAACTAATATAACATTGAATGTCAACTGTAATTGAAAAGTTTTTAAAACTATAAAGAGTAAAACAGGATTCAAATGAAAGAATACTAGTAAAGTTTTCATTCATAAAACAAAATAATGCACTGAACATTAACTGAGAAAATGGTCTATAGTCAATTGTCACTTTTGCTGTGCATTTTTTTCAAATCAGAGTTACAGAATAATTAACCTGAAGGCACAAGAGTATAAGACAATGTGCAAAACGAATTAGCATCAAGGGTGAACTGGAGTTAAACAACTATCAAGTAGCAAAATCCTCATTTATGAAGGTATGAACACAAGGGGTAAAAAATCAGCATACTTCCACTGGCCACAAAGCTCGAATAACTGCTGCATCCAGGGCTGTGACTCACTGGGACTATTTATTAGTCTGTGTCCTGCAGTAAACAGGACTACCTACTAAGTTGCTGAAAAGGGGAAATCACTTCTAAGTCTCAAGTGATGATTTACCAAGGAGCAACAGGCTACAAGAATCAAATACCTTTTAGCAATTCAACAAACATTTATCAGTACACCTCCCTATGCTAGCCTGGAGGAATAGCAAATTAAATAAGACTTGGTCTCATCTCTACTCAGACATGACGACAAATGCCCTTTGTCCAAGAACTCAAACATTTTGTTAAATACAGAATTAAATTATTGGCCCACAAAGATGACATAGAATGGACACATGAAGAATAATGCCCTGTAAAATACCAATATTTAAGGGAAAAACAAATAAAGATTTACTGAAACAAGGACAGAAAACATTGGTCCTTAACCCATACATGAGTTGCTTCATTCAGAGAAAGGACAGAAGTTACTCAAGTCTTCAAACTCTGCTCTTCAGGTGCTTATAAACTCCTCCAAAGTCTTGCCTGTATACTAAGTACTCACCAATTCTGGGCCAAAGAAGAATGGGTGCTGAAAGGTCCCCAATGATTCACTTTCTGACCTCAGTAACCTTAATATCAAAATAAAAGAAAAAGTGGGATACCTGGTCTTTCAGTTCCCATGTCTTACTACCTCCGAAGGTAGTAAGTTCTGAATTCTATTTCATGCTATATTTTTCAGGATCAATGACAAATAAAAACAAACTATGCGTTCCTCAAAAAAAAAAAAAAAGTAGAAAAGGAAAAAAAAGGCTTCCCCTATAAATAGAAAATTTAGATTTATCTCCTGTTGGAACTCACCTCCCAGAAGCTTCCATTTGGCACTGGAACGAAAGGTTTCCATCTGCTTTACCTCTTCTGGTCTCTCATCCACAAATTCAGCCACCTGTGGGAGTGAGGACATTATGTTGAGGAAACCCACAGGATACAGCCAAGGAGTACTGCTGTCTTGAGAACCTTAAGTTATAACCATTCTCATTCCTAATACACATGGCACATACAAACGCGAAATAGCCATGAAGAGATTTAGTGGTTCTCAGTTATGTTCGCTCCATAAACATCTGATTGTCACTGGATGGTTTAATTCTAGGTCTTTCTCTAACTAATCAATTCCCCTCCAAAGGTTAATTTCATTCATTACAAGCCTTTTTATCAACTTGCCAGGTACACAACTGCCACCTGTAAGATAAAAGCTAAATTCCCTTTACTGTTTTATTTTTACCTCTTTATTTTTATTATATTGCATTCAAAGTGAAAACACAAGCAGGCTCTTTGTCATGCCTATCACTCATCAAGGGTTTTGGGTTCCTTATAAAACCTTTGTTTTTATAGGTAGTCACAATGATAGCTATTCTTGAACCCAGCCAAAAGAAGTCATGAAGACGTACAAAGAATCATAGAACCTTCGAGAGAAAACTATGCTTCATATCATCCAAACTACCAAACAAATGTGGAATCTTCTTTATAATATCCTTGATAAATGATTACTCACCTAGTCCCCTCCCTGTCAAGGAATCAATTCACTAACAGGGAACTCATTATGTTAAAAGGCAATCCACTGCATTTTGGGGACAATGCTAGAAAGTTCTTAGTTTTATTGGACCAGTACTTACCTTCCTATAACTTCTTCCCATTAACCATAGTTCTGACCTCTGACAACTGATCCTCCTTCCACATTACAGACTTTCAAAAAGGGCTGGCATGATAAATTCTAGTTACAGAATAGCAACTATGTGCAAGGCAATGTTCTACTTTACTATCTCACTTAATCCTCACAATAGCCCTGCAAAGAAAGGTTCCACACTACTAAAGGGCAACTATGACTCGGATAAATTAAGTAACTCTCTCAATATCACAAAGTAGCAAGTGGCAGAACTGGAATTCGAACCCAAGACATAAAACCTCTCTACTTCTCTTCTCCCAAGAGCCTACCATCATTCCTCATATAACCTAGTTTTCACACCTCTTCACATGCATTAAAAGCACAGGCTTTCCAGCAAGATGAGCTGAGATCCAAATCCCCAGCTCTGTCAGTTTGGTATTTGTGTAACCTCTGGCAAGTTATTTTCTCTAAGCTTCAATTTACTCATTTGTAAAAGTAGGTTTCAAAGGACTGTTAGCAGGACTCCATGAGATAGTTCATGTGAGCTTAGCAGTACTTGTGCATGGTGAATGCTCAATAAATTATATCTATTATTCTTTGCTACTACTGCTATTGTGGTTGTCCCAGTTATTTGGCCATTATTACAGCTGGTGGTGATCGTTTTGCAGTAATACAAATGCATTCAACGACCAAGATCTGTTTTAACGAGTTTAGAGGACAGCGTGGGGTTAGAGCCTCCCTATTTTGGTTTTGGAGCAATCATAGGAGCAAAAAGTAGTATTATAAAGGAAAATTAATAGAGGACTACATAAAAATTACAATTTTTAAATGTCAAAACTATTATAAATTAAAAGGTAAAGATAAAATATACCTATGAAACATAAAACAGATAATATATACTTATATAAATATCAAATAAATCAATGAAAAAAAAACAATTTTCTAAAAATGGACAAAATACCAAGAAATTCATAAAATAGAAATGCCCAAGAAACTTATGAAAAATTACTCACTTCACTATTTTTCAGAGACTGGATACCATTGTTCACCTGCCAAGCTGGCACAGGCTTGCCATGGGTTCTGTTGTTGTTAATAATGTTCAAGTATTGATAAAGAAATGGAAAAGCTGGCATTCTCATACCAGTTTTTACACTCAAGTAGTACCAGAAGTGTAAATTGGTACCACCTTTTGGAAAGCAATATAGGACTGTAGCTCAAAAGGACCATAATTTCATTTAACAGGAATAAATAATGGATTCCTACAATGATTTCTATATGTTTATCAAAGCATTTTGATATTTTTTTCTTTTTTAAGTATATTTTACTGATTATGCTATTATAGTTGCTCCATTTTTTCTCCCCTTTATTCCCCTTCACCCTGCATCCCTCTCCACCAGCATGCCCCCACCCCTTAGTACATGTCCATAGGTCGTACATATAAATTCTTTGGATTCTCCATTTACTGTACTATTCTTAAGCTCCCCTTATTTTCAAACTTCCAGTTACACTGCTTACCCCATGTACCTTTTCCCTATTCTCTCCTCACCCCCTCCCCACTGATAAGCCTCCACGTGATCTCCATTTCTGTGATTCTGTTCTAGTTGTTTGCTTAGTTTGCTTTTGTTTCTTCTAGGTTCAGTTGCTAATAGTTATCAGTTTGTTGTCATTTTACTGTTCACAGTTTTGATCATATTCTTTTTGTTAGATAAGTCCCTTTAACATTTTATATAATAAGGGCTTGGTGATAATGAACTCCTTTAACTTGACCTTATCAGGGAAGCATTTTACCTGCCCTTCCATTCTAAATGATAGCTTTCCTGGACAGAGTCATCTTGGATGTAGGCCCTTGCCTTTCATGACTTGGAATACTTTTTTCCAGCCCCTTCTTACCTATAAGATTTCTTTGAGAAATCAACTGATAAGTCTTATGAGAACTCCTTTCTAAGTAACTTGTCTCCTGTTCTCGTGCTGCTTTTAAGATTCTCTTCTCATCTTCAATCTTGGGTAATGTAATTATGATGTGCCTTGGTGTGCTCCTCCTTGAGTCCAACTTCTTTGGGACTCTCTGACCTTCCTGGACTTCTTGGAAGTCTATTTCCTTCACCAGACTGGGGAAGTTCTCCTTCATTATTTGTTCAAATAAGTTCTCATTTTCTTGCTCTTCTTCTTCTCCCTCTGGCACCTCTGTGATTCGGATGTTGGAACGTTTAAAGTTGTCCTGCAGGTTCCTAAGCCTGTCTTATTTTTTAGAATTCTTGTTTCTTCATTCTGTTCTGGTTGAATGTTTACTTCTTCCTTCTGTTCCAGATCGTTGATTTTAGTCCTGGTTTCCTTCCCTTCCCTGTTGGTTCCCTGTACATTTTCCTTTATTTCACTTAGCAATACCTTCATTTTTTCCTCTATTTTGTGACCAAATTCAACCAATTCTGTGAGCATCCTGATTACCAGTGTTTTGAACTCTGCATCTGATAGGTTAGCTACCTCTTCATTGCTTAGTTCTTTTACTGGAGTTTTGATCTGTTCTTCCATTTGGGCCATATTTCTTAGCATACCTGTTACATTGTAAGGGGCAGAGCCTTAGGTATTCACCAGGGTGGGGCAACCCACATCACTGCATTGTGGTTCTGTGTGTAGGGGAGGGGTCAAAGAGGAAATAATGCTACTTGCTCAGCTCTTGCCCCACTCCCAATCACTTCTTCCACCACCCACAGCAAACTGGACCCTTCTGGTGCTGATTCCTGGGTGGGTGTATTTGTATACATCCTAGGACCCTATGGGTCTCTCTAACAAACTCTCCTATGAAGCTGGGAATTTCTCCAGCCACCACAACCCCCATAGATTTTTACAGCCAGAGGTTTTGAGGCTTTCTTTTCCCACGCTGGAACCCTGGGTTGCGTGGTCTGCCTCGCCCCCCAGTTGTTCCTCCCAGTTTATCTGCACACAAATGTAGGACTGCCAGCCTCTGCCTCACCAGTCCACTCAGTCCTCTAGCTGCTGCCGTGCCACATGTCCTCTCTGCCTCAGCTGCCTGTCTCCGCCCCTCCTACCAGTCTAGATGAATGTTTCTTCTTTAACTCCTTAGTTGTCGGACTTCCGTACAGTTCAATTTTCTGGCAGTTCTGGTTGTACTTTTTTTTAAATTTGTTGTTGCCCTCCTTTTGGTTGTGCGAGAAGGCAGAGTGTATCTACCTACACCTCCCCCTTGGCTAGAAATCACATTTTCATGTTTTAAGACAGGAAACAATCCAGCAACAAAACATTTTAAATTAATATGTATACTGAGCTACTACACAACCATGAAAAATCACATTCTCAAAGAATATTTTAAAGTCTTACAAAAGTATTCACAATATATTATTAAGTGAAAGACCAGGTTCAAAAACTATGTATACAGTATGATCCCAATTATATTTGAAAAAAAATAAATAAAAGTATGCATAATCTATGAATTAAAGACATATCTATCTCAATGTTAGGAGTTATTACCTCTGGATAGTCACAGTATAAGTGATTTTTATACTTTTTTTAAAACTTTAAAGTTTCTTAAAATTCCCAAATACTCTATGATAAATATATATTGCTTTCATAAAATAAAATTTTATTAAAACAAATGTTAACATTAATTAGGTATAAGTGATTCTGACTGAAACTAACTGATTCCTTATGATCACTATTTCCTGTCTAATTACTAACAAACTATCTTTTAAATAATCAAGTGTAGAATATGCTGGGGATAAACATATACTAATCTGGAATTCATCTTTATAACTTTATCACAACATAGTCTATTAACAGCTCTCCTTTTCACTTGTTTCTCAGTTATTCTCAGCAAAGGTTCCATGACTATACCAATGCTAGATTATTTGCCTACACTTTTGCCTACTTGGCTCTTATCCTTCAAAACTCATGTCAGATACTGACATCCTTCATGGAATTTACCAATGGAATAAAAGGTGTGCTACTTTCCCTATGCTCTAATAGCACTTGGTACATAAGATTTGAAACTCAGTCTACCATTCTAGGGTATGACCTCTAGAGTACAGATACTATGTTCTAGTAATCTACATATCTCCATCACTTAGACAAGAGTATACAAATTTTAAAGTTTAACTGAGTCAATGAATAAAAGAAACAAAGAAGAAGTTTCTTATAATTGAACCTGATCCTTGTTTTTAAGATAGCTTCCAACAAATTGAACCTGTTGAATTCTCATCACAGCTCCATCACTGATGTTGAGCCTCTCTCTACAATTAGTTCCCTTTTCTATTTTGATGGGCCCCGCCATAAACAAAGAAGATAGTATAGGCATCATCAAAGAAGACTATTTTAAAAGACCTCTTTAATAGTATTCTGTGCCCTCAACTCACCCTCTTACAAATCTACCCTGGACTGGGAGTTAAGATTGAAAGACCTGAATTTCAAAGTCCTCAGAGCCTCAAAGATACATACCACAGGCAAATCTCCATCATCTTCCTCTTCCTCTTGTTCTGGCTTACTGGTGGAGATAGATGTCCAGCTCACATCATCATCCACAATGCGCATTCTAAATGTGAAAAAAAAGATCAAAAAGGATTAACATTCTTATTATTTTTAAGATTTTATTTATTTTTAGAGAGGGAGAATGCAGGCAGAAAGAGAGGGAGAGAAAAATTGATGTGTTAGAGAATCAATCAGCTGTCTTTTGTACCACCCCAACTGGGGAGCTGGCCCATAATCCAAGCGTGTGCCCTGACCAGAAGGTGAACCTGTGACCTTTCAGTTCGCAGCGTGGTGCTCAATCCACTGAGCCATACCAGCCAGGGCAATGTTCTTAAATAATAGCCTATGAACATTTATCTACTAGTTTTAGGATAAAGCTCAAAATCCTACAAGATCCTCCATGTTCTACCATGTCTGTTTTCACATACTCAGTTCCTTCCCTCTGCCTAAACTATTCTTGTCATTCTCTACTGGAAAACTCTTACTCATTCTTAAGATCCTAGCATATACTTATATTTAACTTTCATGAGCATATCTTCCTAACTACTCTTCCTTAACTTCCCCAGCTAAGAACCCCTGTTGCACATTCTTGGAATACTTTCATTGCATATACCACAAAGGACATAAATCATTAGTTGCCTATTTAGTTGTTTAAAGCTTGTCTCTTCATTAAACTATAAGCTCCATTAGAATAGGAACTATGACTTTCTCATGCAGAGTGGTATTCTCCACACCCTGCAGTAACTGGCATAAGAAGTACTGAATAAATGTTTGTTACATTGATAAACTATGAATGATTGCAAATAACAATAACTGCCATGTGAACAGTTATTATCTGAAAAACGAAGATCACTTTATATATCTCTAATAACAACAACCACCATTTGATATCAGTGACATCACTATTACTTTCTTTTAAAAAAAAAGCTAAAGTTTAGACAGATAAAATATCTTGCCCAAAGGTTCAGACAGATAAAATATCTTGCCCACATGGATCACAAAGTGGCACAGCTAGGACTCAAATTCTGATCAGTGTTGCTCCAAAGCTCAAGATATTTTCACTACATGGCCCTGATTCCAAAGAATCCATACAAGTCAGAGGGGCAGAAAGACAGAAAGCAAGAATAAGGCAAGAACCAAACCAGGAAAGGAAATGGATCACCTCTGTGGACATATTTGACCTTACTGGGTATATCAATTTCTGAGGGCAAATAGAGTGGCTTAAAACAACAGAAATGTCTCTCACAGTTCTGGAGGCTTGAAGTCTGAAATCACAAGATATCTGCAAGGCAAGTGTCCACTGGGCTGTAAAGTAGAATATTTCCTTAATTCTTCCAATGTCTGTCAGCCCCAGGCATACCTTGGCCAATTGCAGTCAGTCTAATCCCAGCCTTCACCTTCACAGGGTTGTTTTCCCTCTGCCAGTTTCTGTATCCAAATTTCTCTCTTCTTAGAAATGCCATTTATATTGGGTTTGGTGCCCATCCTAATCAACTATGCCCTCACACTTACTCCTTGGTAGTAGTGTAAAGCTTAAATAATTCATGTCTAAAATACCTAGAATAGTGCCTGCATATGACAAGAACTGTATAAATGTTAGTTACTGTCGGTATTAGCAGTACTGAGTAAGAGCAAGTGAGTACAGGCTTCTGACTCAGGACCAGAGTCCTTGCGACTGGAGGTTCGGCGCAGGTTCTGGGTCCTAAATACCCAGACACAGAGGCTTTGAATTAGCTCCACCATTATTCTCGGGACACAAAATTCATTCTCTACGGGAGCGAACGAAAGACTGTAAAGGCGAGAAACGAACAATGCAGGTCACAGCCTGACTTGAACTGAAGAGAATGCCCAGCGGCGCGAGCGAGGTCTGCACGGGCTCCGGGCTCGGCCAGGCTCCGACGAGCCCGCAGCAGAGAGAGGCCGAACTGTGCGTAGGAGGAACAGCCGTGGCCGAGGAAAGCGTTGGAGAGGTGAGGGGCGCCGAGCCCCGCCAGGCCCAACTCACCCCTTGCCGCCGGCACTGCCAGGCTTAGGCCGCTTTTTGCGACGCTTGAGAATGGACTCGGAGCCCCTGCCGACGCCGGGATCTGCCCTGGACAAGTAACGCTTCAGATACTCGGCCTTGGAGAGTGGCAGAGCTGCCGCCATGGCAGCAGCGAGGGCGGCGCCGGAGACGAAACGCTGAACGACGGCGGTGGGGAGGTGGGGCCAGAACCGGAAGTGGCGGCCTGCGTTTGCCACCGGGAGGGCTGACCGGGGAGAGCACTCCGGGGCTTACCAGGAACGAGGAGCTTCCGGGACCTACTCTACAACCTTATGAGGGCGCAACCACGTTTCTTCCGTTTGTCCATCCATCTACTAATTCAATACGCTATGCAGAAAGCGCTGTTGTAATCGCGAAGTTATAGCCACGTACCAAACAAGATCTCTGCCCCCGGGACCTTTCAGGGAGACCCTGGTGTAGTGGTTAAAAACAGGCTCTGGAGTTCTGGTTCCATAACTTCCTAGCTCTACGACCTTGGGCAAATCATTTTACAAATTGGAGATAACAAAGACACCAAGTTCAATGGTTATGAGGACTGAGATAATATTACTATGTAATGTGCTTGAAACAGTGTCTTGCACATAGTATTATTTGTATTAGTGTAAGTATGTTTAGGTAATGAGGAATCTGCTCTAATAGGCTTCCTTGTACCACTCAAGGCAGGAAATCAGGAATTCCAAACTAAACATAACTACTATGAAAAATGTGGAAAGTTGTATATGTTCCCCATGTTTGATATTGATAGTCCCCAGCTAGCTCTTTTAGAGAAACTTTCCAATGAAAAGGACCTGCATCTATTTTCAGCATAGCAAAATAGGAGAAACTACAGAGATTGAATTCTAATACTCAAGCTTGGGGGGAAATAAGACTTTCCTTCCTCTGGGTATTAAAAGCTTTACCTGATTTATCTTGTTTAACCTTCACAATCCTCATATAATTTTATTAGCCTTATTTTTACAGATGAGAAAACTGAAGCTTGGAGAGGTTAATGAAGTTGTCCAACTTGACACAGCTGGTCCTTGAGAGCAGAAATGAGCAAAGTGGGGTGCAAGAGGTACTAATATTTTTTAAATTAAATATTAGATGTATTTTTATCTCATGTATAATTGTTGTCACTGTTTTAAAGTATATTAGTCAAAATGGCATTGTTATGCTTTATAAATACACATCTTGGGATACATGTTCAAAAATATACAAAACATGTTTGGAGATCACTGCACTGAAGCTTGAATTTTTTTTAATTTTCTTTTTTCAATTAACATTACATGCAATAATACATTTGTTTTAGACATACAGCATAGTGGTAAGACATTTATATTAAAATGATAAAGGGATCCCCCCAATAAATCTTGCACCCATCTGATGCCATACATAGTTATTAGAATATTATTGACTATATTCCCTATGCTATACTTTTTTTTTATTGTTCAAGTACAGTTTTCTTTATGTTCTACCCATCACCCCCATCCCTAGCACTCATCCACACCTCCCACCCTTGAACCTACCCTCTTTGGCTTTGTCCATGTGTCCTTTATACATGTTCCTTGATGACCCTTCCCCTAATTTCCCCCAGTACCCCTCCCTCCCCACACCTCTGGCTACTAACAGTTTGCTCTTTATTTCAATGTCTCTGGATATATTTTGCTTGCTTTTTTATTTTGTTGATTAGGTTCCACTTATAGGTGAATACATACAGTATTTGTCTTTCACCACCTGGCTTATTTCACTTAGCATAATGTTCTCCAGTTCCATCTGTGCTGTTGCAAAGGTTTGGAGCTCCTTCTTTCTTTCTGCTCAGTAGTATTCCATTGTGTAAATGTACCACAGTTTTTTGATCCACTGATTTACTGATGGGCACTTAGGTTACTTCCAGCACTGGGCTATTATAAATTGTGCTGCTGTGAACATTGGGGTGCATAGGTTCTTTTGAACTGGTGTTTCAGGACTCTTAGGATATAATCCCAGCAGTGGAATTGCCACATCAAAATGCAATGCCATTTTTAGAAAATTCTATACTGTTCTGTATAGAACAGTTCTATACTGTTCTATACTGTAAAATTCTATACTTTAGGAAATTCTATACTGTTTTCCACAGTGGCTGCACCAGTCTGCATTCCCACCAACTCTGTACTAAGATTCCCTTTTCTCCACAACCTCACCAGCACTTATTGTTTGTTGATTTGGTTATGATGGCCATTCTGACTGGTGTGACGTGATATCTCATTGTGGTATCTCAATTAAAACCATTTGACCATGGTTTTAATTTGCATCTCTCTGATGGCTAGTGATGCTAGTGATACAAATGAGCATCCTTTCATATGTCTCTGGGCCCTTTTTATGTCCTCTTTGGAGAACTGTCTGTTCAGATTCTTTGCCCATTTTTAAACTTAGTTGTACGTCTTCCTGGAGTGGAGTCATGTGAGTTCTTTATGTATTTTGGAGATCAAATCTTTGTCCAAGGTATCATTTGCAAATAGATTTTCCCATATGGTTGGTTCCCCTTTCATTTTGCTGATGTTTCCTTTAGCTGTGCAGAAGCTTTTTTTTTTTTTTACAAAGTCCCATTTTTTTGTTGTTGTTCTTTCCTTTATGTCCCTTGCTCTAGGGGACATATTGGTGAAAATATTGCTGTGTAGAATATCTGAGATTTTCCTCCTTATGTTCTCCTCTAGGACTTTTATGGTGTTGTAACTTATATTTAAGTCTTTCATCCTCCTTGAGTTTATTTTTGTGTATGGTGTAAGTTGGTGGTCAAGTTTCATTTTTTTGCACGTAGCTTTCCAGGTTTCCCTACACCATTTGTTGAAGAGACTGTTTTTACTCCATTTTTGCTTCTGCCCCCTTTGTTGAATATCGGTAGACTTGATTTTATTTCTGGGATTTCTATTCTGTTCCATTGATCTATGTGTCATGTCATGTGTCATGTGTCAGTACCAGACTGTTTTGATTATAGTGGGTTTGTAATATAGTTTTGCATCAGGTATTGTGATCCCTCATACTTTGTTCTTCTTTTTCAAAATTGCTGCGTCTATCTGGGGTCATTTACAGGTTCCATATAAATTTTTGAAATGTTTGTTCTATATGTGAAATATGCCACTGGTACTTTAATAAGGATTGTGTTAAATCTATAAATCACTTTGGGTAGTATGGACATTTTAATGACATTAATTCTTTCAATCTATGAACCCAGTATATGCTTCCATTTATTTGTGTCTTCCTTAATTTCTTTCTTCAGTATTGTGTAGTTTTCTGAGTACAGATCTTTCACCTCCTTGGTTAGGTTTATTCCTAGGTACATTATTGTTCTCATTGCTATTGAAAATGGATTTCTTTTCCAGATTTCTGTTTCTGATATTTCATTGTTGGTATACAAAAATGCCTTCAATTTCTGAAGATTGATTTTGTATCCCGCTGTTTTGCCAAATTCACTTATTAGGTCGAGTAGTTTTTTGGTGGAGTCTATAGGGTTTTCTGTGTACACTGTCATGTCATCTGCTAACAGTAACAGTTTTAATTCCTCCTTTCCAATTTGGATGCCTTTCATTTCTTTGTCGTGTCAGATCTCTGTCACTAGGACTTCTGGTACTATGTTGAATAGAAGTGGTGAAATCAGACACCCTGTCTTTTTTCTGATCTTAGTGGGAAAGGTTTAGATTTTGCCCATTGATTGTGATATTGGCTGTAGGTCTCCCATATATGGCCTTTACTATATTGAGGAATGCTCCCTCTACACCCACTTTGCTGAGTGTTTTCATCATAAATGGGTGCTGCACCTTATCAAAAGCTTTTTCTGCATCTATTGATATAATCATGTGATTTTTGTCTTTGCTTTTGTTTATGTGATGTATTACACTTATTGACTTTTGAATATTGTACCATTCTTGCATCCCTGGGATGAATCCCACTTGGTCACGGTGTATGATCTTTTTCATGTATTGCCAGTTTGCCAATATTTTGCGGAGAATTTTAGCACCTATGTTCATCAGCAATATTGGTCTGTAGTTTTCTTTCTTTCTTGTGTCTTTATCTGGTTTTGGGATTAGGATGATTCTGGCTTCTTAAAAAGAGTTTATGAGTCTCTCCTCTTCTTCAATTTTTTGGAATAGTCTATGAAAGATAGGGATTAGCTCTTCCTTAAATGTTTTGTAAAATTCTGTGAAACCATCTGGTCCAGGGCTTTTGTGTGCTGGGAGTTTTTTTCATTACTGCTTCAATTTCACCAATTGTTATCAGTCTGTTCAGGCTTTCTCCTGCTTCTTTATTAAGTTTTGGAAGTTTATATTTTTCTAGAAATTTGTCCATTTCACCCAGGTTTTCAAATTTCTTGGCATATAGCTATTCATAGTAATTTCTAACAATCCTTTCTTTTTCTGAGGTATCGGTTGTAATCTCTTCTCTTTCATTTCTCTCTTTATTTATTTGGGTCCTTTCTCTATTTTTCTTGATGAGTCTGCTTAAAGGCTTGTCTATTTTGTTTATCTTTTCAAAGACCCAGTTCCTGGATTTACTGATCCTTTGAATTGTTCTTTTAGTCTCCATGTTGTTTAATTCTGCTCTGATCTTGGTTATTTCCTTCCTCCTACTTGCTCTGGCCTTTGTTTGTTGTTCCTCCAGTTCTTGTAGGCGTAGGGTTAGGTTGTTTATTTGAAATGTTTGTATGTTTTTTAGGTAGGCTTGTATCGCTATGAGTTTCCCGCTCAGGACTGCTCTTGCTGTGTCCCATAGGTTTCAGACTGTTTTGAGTTCATTTTCATTTGTTTCCAGAAATGTTTTTATTTCTTCCTTGAAATCATTCCTAACCCATTCATTTTTTAATAGCATGCTATTCAACAATCTCCATGAGTTTGAGTGTTTGGGTTTTTCATCCTTGGGGTTGGTTTCTAGTTTAAGTCCCTTGTGGTCAGAGAAAATGCTTGATATGATTTGAATTTTTTTGAATTTGTTGAGGTTTGTTTTGTGTGCTATCATGTGGTCTATCTTTGAAAATGCTCCATGTGCACTTGAAAAGAATGTGTATTTTGCTTCTTTGGGATGCAAGGTTATATATATATATATATATCAGTTAAGTCCATTTGATCTAGGGTATTGTTCAATGCTGCAATATCCTGTCTGATACTTTGGAAAATCTACCCACTTCTGAC